AACCATCATATCCTCAAATATTTGGAAAGCTTCAACATCTTGAGCGACCATCAATATGGCTTTCGGAAACGAAGATCAACGAGCGACCTTCTATGGCATGTCACCCATATTTGGAATAATGCAATAGAGAAACATGAAGAGTCGAGAATTTTTGCTCTTGGTATTTCCAAGGCCTCTGATGGTGTGTGACATGAGGGTTTGCTGGCCAAATTTCGATGCTATGGCTGGTCGGATCATGGTTGTGAATAACTCTCCAGCTTCCTGAAAAAACGTTTGCTGCAAGTGGCCGTCGATGGATATCTTTTGATATCGTATGTCGCAATCGGAAACATGGAGAATCAAGAGCTGTTGCGCTTGATATTTCTTAGGCCTTTGACCGTTTGTGGCATGAGGGTTTGCTGGCCAAACTTCGATACTATGGCTTATCCCATCATTTTTCTATATGGCTCTTCAGCTTCCTGAAAGAACGTTCCCTGCAAGTAGCTGTCGATGGATATCTCTCCGATACTTTTATCATCAACGCTGCTGTTTCCCAGGAATCCATATTTTTTCCAACCCTCTTTTTATTGTATATCAACGACTTATTGAAAAAAACAAGAATAATATATTGCTTTGATGACGACAGCACACTTGTCTCGTCATTCCACCGGCAGCAGGGGGTTGCATATCTCAATGAGCATCTAGAAGTGATTTCGAATTGGGATGAAAGTAACCAGGTTCAATTCATTGCCACAAAAAACCCAGGCACCGTTTTTTTCGAAGAAGATGGATGTCTCCGAACCGGATATAATAATGTCAGGTCAGACAATTCCGCTTTCTGCTTCGATACGTTTGTTGGGGGTTAAAATAGACACCAATGTATTGGCACAATCATGTTGCTGGAATTGCAAAGGCTTCTCAAAAACTTGGAATATTGTTTCGAACCAGAAAACACTACACACGTCAGCAACTTTTGATGCTTTATTAAGCTCAGATAAGACCTTCTTTGAAATATGTTCTCATGTAAGAAGCTCTGCCTCCAAACATACCATGAAATTTCTGGATTCCATCCAGAAAAGAGCCATCCAACTGATTGGAGACGCAAACATCATGTTCCATCTTGATAGCCTGGAACATCGAAGAAGGGTTGGAGATTTGTCTCTTTTCTATAGATACTTCCACGAGAAGTGTTCAAGTGACTTGGCACATTTGATTCCACCAAGAGCGGTTCATATCAGAAATTCGCGACGGACTGTGGCTACTCATCGTTTTGAGGTTCAACTCTGTACACCTTCACTGTTTAAGAACTCTTTCATTTGGAGAACTTCGTTTATATGGAATAAACTTCCTGAGAACTTTTTTCCAAATGGATTTAATCTCCAGCGATTTAAATCCAATGTGAATCGCTACTTTCGCACAGGCACCGCTCTGAGAGCGCTTTAAAGATTTTCCTGTAGTGCTTGTGTTTTGACCTTGAAAAAAANGCATAGTAAATAGATTTGATTGCTGCCTCGTTGTTGAAGTCTTTGCATATTCTGCAGAAAAATTCCAGGGTTTTGCTGCAGGAATTTATTACATAATCCAAATGGGGATTGAAAGTCATTTTTGTATCAAAATAGATTCCAAGATCTTTAATTTGGTCTACTCTGTTAATAATATTATTGCCCAGGGAGTATTGAAAATGTATCGGTATGTTATTTCTGCAAAAATATATACATTATTATTATTAAGTTTTAATTCATCGAGGTAACAGTATTATAAAAAAGCATTGAGTTGAGGTCTTCCTGAATCTTTGAGCAATCTTTAATCGTCCTTACTTTTCTGAAGATTTTCAAATCATCACCATATAATAGTACTTGTGAATGCTTGAAGCAATCTTTCAAATCATTCATAAATACTAGAAACATTAATGGATCCAGATGTGAACCTTGAGGGACTCCCGAAGTTACCACAAATGGAGTAGATCTGTATCCATTTACGCTCACTAGTTGATGACAACGATTGTGAAGGTAGGATAAAAGCCATCTAAGGAGATCTCCCTGTATACCGATTCCAGCAAGTTTTGAAATAAGAAGGTTATGGTCGAGTTTATCAAATGCCTTACTGAAGTCAGTATACAGTGAGTCCACCTGTGCTCGATTGCCTAATGCAGTTAAAATGTAGTTAACATATATTATTAAATTTGTTTTTATGGCCCTCTTGGAGAAAAAACCATACTGGCATTCTATGATTGATGACTTGATATAGTAAACATAGAGTCATAAACAATGCAATTTGCTGAAAATGGACAGTTTACTGATACCTCGATAACTTATTACTGAGTTTCTATTACCAGAGTTTTTATAAATCGAGACTAGTAGAGCAGTTTTCCAAACCTTTGGGAAAGCACCAGACTGCATGGATTTGTTGAATAAGATGCTCAAGGCGTAACATAGACCAGAAGCACAGTTTTCAACGAAGTATGTAGGATAACCATCGATCCCAGCACCCTTATTCACATCGATTGACTTTATTTTCTCTAATATGATTTCTGGAGTGAACTCTATTGAATTCAACAGATTATTATCACTGAACTGAAGAAGAACATGATATATTTGCTGATAGGGCTCGTAAAAGCTGCGAAAATATGTAGCAAATAGGTCGCATATACTTTCACAATTTTCAGCAAACGCATCGTTGTAGCTGATTTTGTTAGGAATACCTACATCATTTTTACATGAAGTTACATATTTCCAGAACTTTTTGGGACACGTTCATCCACAAGAAGGAATACTGGTTTAAGAAGAAGTTCAAAAAAGCTGCATATATGTTGTTCAACGACGCGTTCAGCCAAGCTAGCGTAGAGATAGGGAACATATGGGAACCTGTAATCAAGCCAAATGGTCAACTCGCGCTAAACCCATGAAGCGATTAGAAGGGATAGGTGAAAACACTCAAATGACCTATAAATAGTCAGATCTCGGAGGAATAAGTCCAGTCCAGTGCCAGTTAAAACGGTAAGGGAGCCAGGCTCCAAACTGTCCAAAAACAAGATGGCTGTCGAATGAGTCCAGTCATCACCTGAAGACGATTATGGATACTAACAATCGACACGTAGTGAAGTAGCTTGGCTTGGAATCTTTTGATTTTCATTTCGTGTTAATAGTTCAATTTTTAATTGTTGCTTGTATTTTATTTCATTGTAATTTCAGTTTTTTGCTCAATATAATTGTTATTTTTCAGCTAATCTTTTTAATTTTTATAGATTCTATCAGGGTTTGGGGTACTTGCCCCATCATCAGTACCGGGCATGGTCTCTTCAGAATGGTGTGAACCGTCTGAGAATCACGACCAAACATAATGGGAAATAACTTGCGACGAATCTTCCAGTTCGAAGACGTTGCACAGGTGCCTGATAGTTTCACTTCAATTCTCTGCGCGCGCGGCATTAGTTGGGTTAGTTGATTTTCCGTTGGGTATCTGCCACACGCCACACGTTCCCGTATATTTAATGTATGAGGCAAATGAAAATATGACTCGGAGTGAAGATCCTCATAGTATCACTCCACTCCATTTCAAACTTAATCGTTTTAATGCAAGAGAGTTCAAGATTATCAGCATTTATAAAAGTTTATGTTTGGTAAAAAAAATATCGAAATTAATTTATATCTTCTGAACGGGAATAGATAGGTATAGGGAAATAGTATATGAATTTGTTGATAAAGTGATAATGAATCATAATATGATATTTTATATGGGGTGTTCCATATGAAAAATCAAAGAAGCCGCTACTTTATAGTAGAAGCGACAACGCCGCTTCGTCTAAAATATTTTAGGCGTAAGTCATATTGACTTATGCATATTGTGGAATTTTCAGGTTGATCCGTTGAATAGTTTGCCAGAAACGGCTAATTAACGCTCATCATGAAAAGCCCTGTATAATTATCGCAACCGAACAATCGTCAGTCAGCCGCTGCTGGTTTGAAATAATTTACATCAGATGAACTTCTACGCATGAGATTTATCTTCGCTAGATCGATAGAATACATATTTATGAAAGATTTTGATTTCAAAATACACCTTTTGTTTTTTAACATTCAGAAAAACTAACATATTCCTCAACATTTTGACATAGAGAATCTGGCTACCTTGAACTACGAAGTCACTTCAAAGCCTTAATAGAAAATACGAATTCAAAGTGAAGTCCCCTAACTTCCATAACGATTCCGATCGAATCTCCTTATTGCGTCATCTTGAACGCTATGTTAGGTAGTCTATGACTATGACGAATATGTTAATAAACGTAATTCCCTCAACAGAGGAAGTGAAAGCTTACAAAAGCACACTGACCGGTCAATAGGTATATACAGAGTGATACAGCAGCAATGTATCAAACTTGGATGTAAAATCCTCAGTGCTTGTGCATTTCTTCAAGAGAAAGTTATTGTTTTATTGGTTTCGATAAGATTTACTTCATTCACTGCTGAGGAGAAATATGAATCCACTGGAGTAAACAGAAACAATACAAACGGGAATATCTTAGAAATAATTATCGATATCTCTCAAGAAAACCATATTGAAAATAATGAGAGAGGTTATTGAAGAACTTTTGTTCACTTGGAAATGTCGCAATTTCCCACATCTTCGAACTACATCTAAGTAGAATTTCAAATTATAAAACCATTATTTTGAGAAGAAGAAATTTTGACTTTTATGCCAAATAATTTCATTCCACCAAATTTTCAGCTGACAACGAGAAGAAATTGATATGATGGTAATCTTCATACTGAATATTGACTTCCACCACATTCTGCGGGACAAGTTTCTTAGGGATTGAAACACTGTTATGCTAATGACAAATAGTCTGCAGTTTTATTTCCTACAATCCTTTGTAGCCCAAGTAATTTGAACTGTTTCAACCCTGTGCGTGATTTTGTGGTATTTTTAAAATGTAAGTAAAGGTCCCTTCTGTGAATGGTGAAAGAAGAAAACAAAGCTCAAGTGGTTGCTCAAAAAAAAACAAGAGAAGTTGGAGTACCAACTTCTGGAGAAGGGATAACTGNATTCACCCAAGTATCTGCTGAAGTATCCCCAAGGTGATGAAACTGCATTCGTATCAATGCTATCCATGTTATCTTGGGGTCCATTTTTACTATCGAAAACAATTCGATTCCATGACTGTTTGCTGTATTTTTTGGCAAGTTCACTCAGTCTCATATTCATCTCTGGATCGTCAGCATCTGATTCATCAGAAATCGATCTTTCAGAACTGATATCAATATCACTGTCGAGTTGGGCAATGGTTGGATTTTCTGATTCCAACAAAATATCGTCTTCGGACTCCTCATTATCAACCTCGAAATCGGATCCAACCTCGTCCAATAGATCAAAAATAGCATCAGGATTATCTCGAAGATGATCCAAATCAATGACACTCCTGCTTTCTGTAAAAAAATAACAAATTCTCAATATCCGTGATATTCCTGGAGAGGTTGAGTCCCAATACTCACATCTGTGATATTATGAAATCAACCAATCCCAGAAGTCTCACTTAATTTTTTTTCATATCATCCAACCTGTAGGCTCAAATATCAACCTTTATTGTTGACATCATGCACTTAAAAACAGAAAATAACTTCAACTGAAATTAACTTACTTGCTGAATTCATGTTGATGCACGAATGTAAACAAAACACTGTGAAACGCTTCATACAGGTCTGCTCAAGTTGGCTGTTACGCGTCAAATGGCGGAACTGCGGCCTTCTGCGCATCAATACGTATCCTCACAATCGTATGATGTCGGTATGAACCTATTCGATCGTAAATTTGATCATATTGTGCGGCATGTAGTTCACCCTCACAATTGTAACTACCAGGAACGAAAGGGATATTGACTTCCACCACATTCTGCGGGACAAGTTTCTTAGGGATTGAAACACTGTCATGCTAATGACAAATAGTCTGCAGTTTTATTTCCTTCAATCCTTTGTACCCCAAGTAATTTAAACTATTTCAACCCTGTGCGTGATTTTGTGGTATTTTTAAAATGTAAGTAAAGGTCCCTTCTGTGAATGGTGAAAGAAGAAAACAGAGCTCAAGTGGTTGCTCAAAAAGAAACAAGAGAAGTTGGAGTACCAACTTCTGGAAAAAGGAGAACTGTTTTTGTAGCTATAAACGCAATCGGTAATAGTGAATTAAGGTATTATGATCATTTTATCAGGAATGCTTCTGTAGGATCCATTGGAGCAGGTAACACGAGCGGGTGGATGAGGAAAAAAGATTTCTTGTTATACCTAAAACATTTTAAAAACAATTCACTGAACTGCCCACATAATCTGCAAAAAGTGATGATTTACGATAATTCATATAGCGTTTTCTATCACCCTCACGCAATCAAATATTGTAGAAGAATTCAAGTGAACTGGAATATTTCTCTTCTCCTTTATATCGGCAGGTGTAGGCCAAGACTCGCCGAACACACACTCTCTTGTATTTCATCAGTTCGGACTTTCATTGTCTAATATATTGACTCATCCAATGCTAGAGAAAACCACTCATGATGTCCATTTTTGTCAGACAGTTGAGATGATATATTTTCTGCGATGTCTTGCACCCTCCGATGAAATGAATAAGTGTCACATGTCATTAAAAGCATGAGGCCTCCATTACGATTAGAGCGTGCTCTAATGCTAAATGTACTCTTTTGACCACGAAACTAAGCCACCATACCTCAATCTGACACACTCGAATATTTTTGATCAGCGATTTTTTTATAATCTGGCGAGCAAGGTATTCTTTCTATGTTCATTTGTCACGCTTGAGTAAATCCCAAAATCTCCTCTGGGGCTCACCTACTATTAAAGCGGTTATGATATTGTAAACTTGTTTGCAAAACAGTTTTCCTCGTGTAAACGGGAATAATGAAGTTCCGCCAATAGGAAATTGCAGTTAAGTAAACATATTTCGTTATTATATGAGTGTAACCGGCATTTTCAATTAGGAATACAAATTTGAAAAACAGTTTTTGCTCTGGCCCAGATGTTGTTCCACCTTACTTCTTAAAAGAAATATTTGTACTTTAAGTTCACCTCTTCATCTTTCATTTCATTTATCTCTCTCAAAGGGAGTTTTTCCAGAAGCAACTATTTCAAACATTCAAGACGATCGATCTTCTCATAGCTGAACTCAGTTGGGATTGCTGACACATATTAGGTTCTCAACAAAATGGCTTTCGCAAAGACAGAACGTCATTTTAGTTGCCTTTGGAAAGAAGTGAGATTCATTCCGTGTGTACCGATTTCTCAAAGGCCTTTGATAGGGTAGATCATCTTATTTTAGTCAGCGGGCTAGAATCTTTTGGTTTTAGAGGGTGTGTTGCTACATTGGTCAGAAAGTTTTCGATACCACAGGACTCAGACGGTGAAAATCAACAATTTTTTTTCAAATTATATGACTGTATATTCCAGAATTCCTCAGGGAACTCACTTTGGGCCATTGTTTCTCAATTTGTTCATAGTTGATATTGTGGAAGAGAAGTATCGGGATCGAAATGTTTACTTTCGGCTGATGATCTTAAGATATATCGCATTCTACAAGAAGACCTAAACTATTGGTGGAAATCAGGAAATCATACAGATATAGATAGATAGATAGCACTTTATTTTCCAACAGCTGTACACCCAATAACAGGAAATGTCAAAGAAAATATACTAAAACAAATAACATTCAATTCAATAATTAAATTCTTATTTGTTCTGCTACTCTGACAATGAAATGTTTTCTCGTATCTTGAGTTGAGTCGTGGTACATAAAAAATTATTTTTTGTAGGAGCGAAGCACAGGAGATGTCATTATTTATCGAATTATACAGAAATGTAATGAGGAGTCTACGTGTATTCAGTGATATAATATTAAATTGGTTCAAAAAGATGGAATAGTCAATACCTCTTTGGGGTTAAATACCTGTAGTGCGAAAAGACAAGAATTTCAAGAACTTTCTTTGTACAGCTTCAATTTGCTGTATGTGAGAATTATAAATGGGATACCAGATCATCACCCCATATTCTAGTTTGGACCTCACATAAACTAGAATAGTGTGATTATAACCTTTATATCTCTGAATTCTCTAGTGTTCCTCATTATGAAACTTTTGACTAGCGGATAAAACAGCTTGGTCTATATGTAAAAGAAAACTGAATATCTGATCAAAATTAATGCCAAGGTCTTTCATTTCATTAACTCAACTTATGGTATTATTATCAATTCCGTAAGTAAATTGTATTAGACTTTCTTTCCTGGAAAAAGACAACACATGACATTTAGCAATGTTAAGATTCAAACAATTATTGGAACACCAATCATATATCAGATGTAATTCATACTGTAAGTCTGAGCAGTCTCCATAATTTTGTATCACCTTAAATATTTCAAGGTCATCGGTGTAGAGCAGTTTTAATTGTTTAATATTTTAGTTAAATCATTAATGAAATTCAAGAACAAAAAAGGTCCTAAATTCGAGCCTTGGGGCACTCCGGAACTGGGAATATATAAAGCAGATTTGAAGTCTTCATACTCTACATACTGTTTTCTATCGAGTATATAATTTGACATGAGTTCACCAATTTTGCCGGAAAACCAAATTCTGATAGACGCTTGAGAAGAAAGAAGAAATCTATTTAATCAAAAGCTTTTTGCATGTCTGTATAAATGACGTCAACCTGCAGTTTCCTATCCAAGGCTTCAGAGACACATTGTGAAAATATTAAGAGCCACCGGTAGACAGCTGTTTCAGCCTATTGGGCATCGTCAGTACCGGGCAGGCGGTCCTCGATTGAAGACAAAATGAGAAAAACTAAGAAAGTACTTGATAAAAATAGCTGCGTAAACGTAAACTTGATATAAATAGCTGGAATTATTTTCCAGCAGCTTGAAAAATTCATGAGTGTGTAACGGAGGAGTTACTAACCCTTTATGCCTTACATACAAGTTGTGTACGTCAGTCCGAAAAGTAATTTTATTACATAGATAGGTCGGAATCTTATTGCAGATAACCTTATGATAGAAACACGCTGAGTGTAATGACCTTCGGTTTTCCATATTGAGCCAACAAGTTTCTGACAGCTTTGATGAGATTCTGTTCCTTTTACGTACCCCATGAATAAGGCGAAGGCAGGAGTTTTGAATCTTTTAGAGTCTTTTCTTGTTCCTAATTGTGAGGCATGGTCCATAGAGTACATCTGCATAGTTAAAGATGAAAGAACGAGACTATCACATAAAGTAATTTTTGTGTTTTTAGAGGGGACTTTTCGATTTCCGTAAATCAGCTTGAGTGAAAGGTAAACTTTCTGGATTAATTTGTTCACATGGGAATCAAATCGGAGATCACTATCTACAGTTATACAGTTATACCCTCGAGTAGATATTTCTGACCGCAACGGATAATGGCAATAGCAATAGTGAGATGCAGAAGAGGATGAGACTTAGGGAATCGCCCCGAGGAAATTTTCTGTAAAACATAAATATACAACTTTTTGGGTTTTGCTGAGAAGTTCAAAAAAAGTTTTGAATTAACCGCCACTTTTATTAGGAAGTTTCTCTTCTTTTCTTTGTGTAAGGGTGATACTGAACTTTGAGTGACACTGATGGAAATAGTTGTCAAACCCTAATGATTGTTTTTTTTCAATTAATAGAACCTTGAGATTTCATGATCTGAAAACTTTGAGCCAACTTCACTTACTTTTCTAGTACACTCTGTATACGTAAACTATTTTAATATGCATTCTGAAATGAATGGCTGTACTCATGAATACTAAGTCGTTGTATCAATTGCAATTGATACAAAAGTTCAACAATAAATATTGTAAGTTTCATGTTGATAAGTGAATAACAACACTACATTAAATTGTGCAGCATTTGCATAAGAATTTTATATTTTTATTTCCAAACGTAGTAATTATCAATAGATGCTAGATTTCACTTGTCACAGACTAGTCTAATAAGTCTAGTTCACAAGTACTATTTCATATTATTTCAGTTCGCATTCAAAGATAATTATGATTGAGATGTGTCATTAGATTCGTGAGTTCACAAAGAGAAATTTACGATTTGAGTCAAGTTGCGCAAACAAGTGGTTTAAAAGTTATGAACAATTTAGTTTAACAAAAAGTGAAGTGTTTTTTTTTTGGAAATACCTCAAAAATCATTGCAGATATTTAATTTTCAAAAAAAGGACCTCAAAGAACAAAAAAGTCCCTGAACTATATCATCAATATGTATAGTTTTAATTGAAATGAAAAAATGTAATGTTTGAAAAATATTTTATCGTAATTTTACTCTCTATTGTCCTTTTGTTAATTAACATTGTTTTAAAGTTGAAGGCATAGGCTATACTGATGTGATTTTTTTAAACGTTTCATTCTCATTTTCAGAAAAATTATCAGAAATAAATGCACTGTTTATGAGATAAAATTGATTTCAGATGGTTTCACGATGTGGAACCAATATTTAGGTCATTAAACACTATCAGATAAAATTTAAGGTCAACTAAGAATCCCAGAGAACCTTAAGCAACCGTATACCGTATTCATTGAAGCTGCAGGTCGGTCTACATTGGAACCACGAAGAAAAGTATAGGTATAGCCGAAGTTAACGATATTGTGTACATTTGAAGTTGGCGACAATCTCAAAGGCCAAAAAAAAACCGATACATAGAAATGAGCCGGCTGCAAACTAGTCCACGTGAACTGAAGAATTGGCGGTTCGTATTGGATAATTTTCACTAACAGAGTTTTATGATTAGTTAAGAGTCATGAAATTAAATCTGAAGTCATGTTACGGTGACCAATAGAATGCGGGGATGGTTATCATCGTCGTGTTGTCAATGTT